CTTAAATTCTGTTCTGCTATTTGTTGTCCCACTGAAACCATTTTTGTAAGTTTTGATCGACTTACATCTTCACAACTAAAACGACTACGAAGGATGAAAGAAAGAATGTACAAGGAGAAGAACTCTAATGAAGTTCGTAAACTAAATGGTCTGATAAACCTAGAGATTAGACGTCTCAACTGTATGTTTACTCAAAAGCTCTTATCTTGCAAAAACTCTCCAAGTATGTGGAAATTCTTTAAAGAACTTACAGGTGACAGAAAGTTTAGAAGCGATAACCAGCTGAATGTTTGTGACTCAAATAAGTCTTTTGTACGTCAGTCATCTGATGTGATGCTCCCTCTATCCACGGGTTTAAAAAATAGTTGTGTTCCTACTTTCACTGAAACTGATGTATGAGGATGTCTCCAGTCGCTTAATTCATCTCGATGTTTGGGACCTGATGGTATCCCAAACATCCTTTTTAAAAAGTATGCTGACGTCCTATGTTATCCGTTCACAGCTATCATTAACAGACCCTCCTCATCTAATCTCATACCAAGAATGTGGAGAAAGATGAAGATAATTCCTGTACCCAAGAAAGCATCTGGTGATAAGAATGTAAAATTTAGACCTATTGCAATAACTTCACCCTTCCTCAAAACAATGGAAAAATTATTAATACTTCCACTTCAGCCTGCGATAAAAGAGCATATTGATCCATATCAGTTTGCTTACAGACGCAAAAGAAGCACTTTGGATGCTGATGCTGTTCAGCATGACAACATAGTGTTCAACTTAGAAAAGGGTCAGAACTATGCTCCATGTGCTTTTCTGGATTATACTTTTGATTCTATACCAAGACAACGTTTAATTAACAAGTTAATCAGCGTCAACACTGACAGCTGGATAACCAACTGGCTATGTTCCTACCTCTCTGGAAGGGAACAGTACACTGAGTTTGTAGGAAAGTGTTCAGAGTCTCTACTGTCTCATGAAGGTGTACCACAAGGAGCTGTTCTTTCACCTCTTCTTTTCACTGCTTTTCTGCATGACCTGCCATCTTCCACAGAAAACACTTTTGTGAAATATGCGGATGATCTCACTGTATGTATGCCTATATCTTCCTCTTGACATCCCATAGAAATGAATGAGCTTTTATCTCGTATTGATTGTTGGTCTGTTGGTAATGGTCTCATACTTAATCCGTCTAAATGTCAAGCTGTTAACTTTAGCATGAGACATAAACGGAATCTAGACACCATTTTGAGATCCCATAATGCTTGTACCATCGGAGACTCTTTGATAAACACAGTGTCGAAGGTCAATTATCTTGGTGTCACCTTTTCCTCTAATCTGTCTTGGTCTTCCCACGTTTTATTGTTACCAGAAAAGGTTTTCCGTCTGACCTACTACATAATGAGATTGCATGCTCTTAGAATTACTCGTCATTTACTCTTACAATTTGTCAATTCTTGCACATTACCTATTATTCTCTACCGTTCTCCATTATTCTTTCCCGGGCTTTTGAGGAAAGACTTTGCTGTATTGCAGAGCGTGCTAAAGACAGTTAGCAAGATGTGTGGTGAATCTTTCGAGGTCATAATTAATATGGTTGTGGATAGACATTTAAAATCATGCAGGTGTTATTTTATCAGATACTAGCCATCCCCTTCACTCTTATCTTTCTCCTTGTATATCTTCTGGTAGAACGAGACGTAAATACATTAAAATCTATGCACGCAAGCAAAAGTATAGAAGTTCTATAATACCTTACCTAGCAAACATACTCTGTGACGAACAGGTTGTTAGAGTTAACCTAGTCAATAACCTACATTCCTAACCTGTCTCTAATTTTAAAAGTTGTACAGTTTTTCGGTTGTTTTTTTAAAAAACCTTTTTCATTTTTTTGTATTCGTTACCGTTTATCTTTTTGTTGTTGCGTAAGTAACTTGTTGAAATAACCTGTGCTGAGAATTCTATATTGTACCAAAATATAATATTGAATAACGCCATTATTAATAATAATAATAAATTAAAGATGATTTAGGATTCAGATTCGGATTTGTGTAGTAAGGACAGAAGTGTTCAGTCTTCTCTTGAATGAGTCGATTCTAGGTGCGGACACCACTGCTTCGGGTAACAAGTTCGAAGTATTGATGACTCAGTGTGAAAACCTGTATGCCACGCATATTTTGTTCGTTCTTGGCTTTTCTACTCGCTCGCTATGTTCTCTGAGATGTCCCGCTCTAGTGGGAAGAAAAAGAAAGAATAAGTTAAGTCCAAAATCATTTCCTAGTATTCTGTACATCAAAATTAGATCTTCTCTTAGTCTGCTATAGGACAGAATAAAGCGGCCTAGCTTTTCAAGCCGTTCTTTGTATGGTGAACCTCGAAGTTCTGGAATTGCATGCGAAGCTGCCCTCTGTATTTTTTTCAGGGTATCCGAGTCACCTTTTAAACTGGGGCTTGCAGCCTGAATGCAGTTCTCAAGCTTAGTTCTCACCAAGGTTTTCTATGCTGTAGTGAACAAGGTAATATCTAACTTAGTGAATGTCCGTTTTTGTCTGTAAGGACTTCTCCCTGGCAGACCGTGTTAAAAGATGGGAAGCTGAAAAAGAATTACAACTTAGGTTAGGCGCTGGCAAACAGGACCTAAAATTGTAAATTTTCGGGTTGTAGGGCTTCGACAGAAAATGATGCCGAAGCCACTCTGGGTGAAGCACGAAGGCACTTAAATAGGCTTCGGATCTGTTACACTGATGCCCGAAGCTTACTCAATAAGCTATTGGAACTTGGTGTACAGATTGACTCGACAAAGCCAGACAATCGCAGTCACAGAAACTTAGCTGACGCAGCCTATAGATAGTATGGAACATGGTTTCCAGGGTTTTAGGTTAATAAGAGCCGACAGAATTCAGAAGCGTAAGGAAGGGAGAGTAGCTCTATTCATTAAAAATGCTATTCCATTTGGCATTATCGACAGTGTATCCCATGAGAGTGGTACGTGTGAATTAGTTAGTTGCCAATTGAAATGCAAGGGTCAATAGCTACTGATTGGTTTGGTCTATCGCAGTCCACGCTGTGAGGTAAATGAGATCTTGCTAAGCAGTCTCAATACTTGGTCACAAAGTGGCGAATGTCTAGTCCTAGGGGACTCTAATGCACCCATGGTAGACTGTAAAAATATGCGAACTGAATTGTCAGATAATTCTTTCGAGCAGGAACTAGTTGATGCGGTTATCACATGTGCCCTAGTGCGACATGTGAAAGAAGCGACTAGGTACGATACGGAATCTGAGTCATTCTTACTAGATCTTATATTGAACCACTATGAGGACGACGTTACGAATCTGGACTATATGCCACCCCTAGGTAAAAATGATCAGGCAGTTCTGACCTTTGACTTGCATATGATTGTCGAACACGAGCACGTGTCAGCTTAATCCAAACCTAACGTCTGAACAGTAGATATACAAGATATTATACACTCAGCATCGTCAGTAGACTGGACAATGGAGCAAGAGTATGTATTTCGAAATTTATACTTAAAAGCTACTGCACCCCAGCATAATTCAGAATGGATGTTCTCATCCTTCTTTTTAAGAGTAGGAAAATATGAGATAGATTTAGGTTACTGGGGACTGATGGGACAACATCTCAGTATCGAAAAGCTCGGAATACCTGTGTTTTGACCCTTCGTAAGTTTAAAAGGTTGTGCAAGGAGAAAATTGTCAAGGAATCCATAGAATGTCCTGAATGCTTGCATTCGTATGTAAACCAAAGGACAAAGAGATAAGAAAATATCCCAGTACAATGGGGGAGACAAAACTGCTTCATCATTAGTGGAGGACGACTTTGGTGAAGCCCGAGCACTCTCAAACTACTTGATCCATGTACATACTATAGAAACACCCTTCCCGTAATCCACACATATTCCCCTCACACACTGGACAGCGTGACCATTAGGGAACTCGATGTCTTTGGTCTGCTAAATAAGCTTGGCATAGACAAATCCACGTGACCCGGTCAGCTGCATCCTAGATCACCAAAGGAATCAGCTAACTTCGTTGCGAATGCTTCAGGAATGTGCTCTAATCTATCCGTAACCCATGGTCGTCTGCCAAAAGGCTGGAAGAACGTCATAGAAAGTCCTCTCTTCAAAACAGGTGCGAAACATAAACCTGAGAATTACCTACCCATTAGTCTAACTAGTCTGGTTGTTAAAATTTTAGAAAAGATTATTCGGAAGCCGTTTAAGTATCTTGATGAAAGCTGGATCCTTTCGGAAAAGCAGGATGGTTTTAGAATAAGTTATTCCCGTCTCATTGACTATTATTGGCTCGCGAAAGCTGAAGAGCTCTTATGTACCAAACGGTACCGGTATACGTAGCCTATATTGACTTCAGCAGAGCTTTTGACGAAGTCCCGCACAACCGGCTGTTATATAAGTTACGAAATGTCGGGGTTGGTGGTAATCTATTGGTGTAGATAAAAGACTTCCTAGTTGGGTGCCAACAAAAAGTGCAGGTGAACTCCAAGTTGTCTAGCTGGAAACTGTGCTTAGTGAAGCGCTCCAGGGCACAGTTTTAGGGCCAGTGTTATTCCTCTTGTATGCAAACAACTTTTTTTCGTCTAATATCATCATCGGTCTTGCTATATGCTGAAGGCGTCAAGATATGGAGAGCGAAACAACGTAAGGGTGATAGCACGTGGTTGAGGCTCAATCCGTCGACTTTTTCAAAAGAAAGTTGAGTCAACTGAGAGATCATCATTGCCGGGACTAAAAAGGACATCAAGCCTCCTTTCCCTCCCAAACTGAAACTGATTAGATAACTGGCCTACCAAACTTAAAACTGAAGCGTCTCCTAGCAAACATGCCACATTATGACTGGCAGTCAGGTATTCACAAATTAAGCCTGAGACATAATAAAGTCCACCATAGTTCGAAAAGCTGAAAACATCGAAACATCTCTCAGGAATAATAACCCAATTCGAGTTTTCTAAACTGCATATTGAAGTTTTTCAAAAGCCGGAATATCCAAGTACGACGCTACTTTCAAATAAGGTATGGTCTGTGTGGTGGGTTAAGCTTTCTATTTATAGTTTCTATTGTAAGGCTATCTAATCTGAGGCTTGTATTATAGCTGTCGTCTTTCTTCATACCAAATACAAGTGTGTTACATGGGCTTTCATGGTGGACGACTTGTCATTTCCCTTTTCCAGCCTTCCTCGCTCACACAACTCTGTATATTCCCCTAGTACACAAAATAGCTTCTGACTAGACACAAATTGTTACACGTTTCACAGACTTCCTTGTGCGTAGTATACTGTACAGTGTCTTGGTGATGAAGCTGGTGGCGAAAAATAATATAAGGACCTAGTAAACATGGACGTGCTTATTGAAAACATAACCTTGCGAAATTGATATTCTGCAAGTTACATGTTTGTTTAGAACATTCTTAGGCTAAGGTAGGCTATTAGGATGGCCCAGTGGTGAATGCATAAACCTCAAATTAATAGCGTATCTGTCAAATAGAAATGTAGTGTAGCGATGACGGAGTAGGTGTAATAACGGAGGAAATACTTCCTGTTGGTAACATTGCAAAAAATATCACGCGGAAAACATCGTAACGCATTTAAAAAACAATCGGGCTGTTAAGCTCAGGATTAGTACCAAGTTTTGTTCTACTTCAGGGTTAGGTTATAAACCTTATTGTTTGTGACGTGGAGGTAGACAAACCTAATACGAACCCTTGAATTCCAAACCTCAAATGGCAATCTGTAGGAACTAACTCTTACCTTAAAGACCTAAACTATGCGTCCTAATCCCAATCTTAAATCATTAACTGTACATCTCAAACCGAAATACCAAGCATAAATCCTAATAATGGGATAATGAATCCCTCGTTTATATCTGTTGCATCATGACTGGCTGAATGTGCCAGGATCATTCACAAGTTCTCTCAGGTTCATTCTCGTAATCTAGGTTTATTAGGGTTTGACCTTTCAAAGCACGCGAACTTTCTTGTCCCACCTCAGTGTTCAGGTGTCTCTTCTTATCTCTCACGGTAGATTTTTAGTAGTCCATAAAACATTGACAAATAATCTTCATAGCTCACTTGTAAGCGTTTCGAGACTTCTCGTCGTTCATGTTAAGAGATTCCATTAAAGTCTTGGTAATATGTACCTCCTGTGCAGGTCGCCTCACTATTATGATCAGGCCAAGTATTTTAAGTGGAGTTGGATGTTAATATACCAAGAACTTCACTTAGTCGAATTGGTGGGGCCAGACAGTGCGTGAATTATGGGATTTTGTATAAAAACTCGGGCTATACTACGTTTTCATTTTTATTTAGCTTTACTGCGTAACCATCGTTTAATAGACAATTCGTTATTTCTGTATACAGTGTAACTGCGGTATTATCGAGTATTGTCTTTTCTTCCTATCTAAAATTGGGTACCTTTTGAAGTTCGGAAAAACTACTGATGCACTTATGTCTGGAGGTTTGTTTTAGAAATTCCATAAACTGATGAAACTTATCCAGTACACGACGTCAGCATTAGCTGGTTCCTCAAATGCTATGTTAAATACCAAAAAGGATTATTATGGTTTGTGTGGCTTCCGTTTCTTATTTCATGTAGCTAAAATTCGACGTGTGTATCTAAGGCACCATTCTCTGTGCACATAAAAGTGTTTTAATTCAAAGGTTTTAAATACAAAAGGAGAGTAGATCAACAGTTTTCATTATAAAAATCGAAGGTCGTACTTCATCTGCAATACACATATTATTTGTTTAAACATAAAAGTTAGTACAAGGAAGCACCGAACATATATGCGCCGCACTTCACCGTTCGACTTGTGAGGGTTTTAATACTACCCGGGCTCCAAAACTAAAGTAGGCTGTGTAATTGATTACAGATGTGTTTTAGGATTAGGGTATACTTCTAACATGATATTTAGTCTTGGCTTTTGACGTACTACAGGCATGTGAAGCGAGTTCCGCATGGAATTAGTTACAGAAAGCTAAAGATTTTAAAATTTTCCCCCATATTTCCAAGTGACCTTAAATCCTATTAAAATCATTCTGGGTTTGTGCTAACTAACAAATATCAGTGTCTATCTTAACTTTTTTCAATGTCATATACCTTCGGTGAATAAGTACAAGTTTGATTCTCAACTTTTCTAGAAAGCAAATCAATGTTTCATTGTAGTTTAGGAATGAAACTGCTCTTAAAAATGTTGACTATTGACTACTTATGGCAATGAATTGTGTTGTCCTTAGGCGTATCTTGTTTGTAAAAAGATTTATTAATGTTACCTTGAAGAAGTTAGTCAATTATCTAGAAGCTTTTGTAGAAAACAAGTGATTAGTGATCTTTGTCTGTATGTTTCCTCATATATTGCATCTTTTGTATATGTTTAAAAGGATGATTGCCGTTAATTTAATAATGGGGTCAAAATGTGGTCAATCTAGAAAATAAATTTGTCCTATGACTGATTGAAATACAGGCAGATGAAGCAGATATTTATACAGTAGTATTAACGTAATTAATTCTAGAAGTTTTAACAGTCAGTAAAATTCGGAACTAATAAGTCACAAATATTTAAGCGTAAAAATTACTTGCTAACATTATAAAACTTAATGATCACTTTCTTTCAATCTTACTATCACTGTTGAAGATACCACACTAAATGCTGATCTTATCCGCTACTATGATTATATCATCTAATTTTTACCGTGATCAATGGGGTCAACTATATAAGGTGTTAGAAAAGTCAAAAACTTGTTTTAGAAAATAAAGTACAGTATTGCTTTATCAAAACGAATCATTATAGATGGTAATAGTATTTCCCTTCATCAATAACCAGAAATTATAGGAGTTTTTCTCAAATAAACTCCGTCGCTAGCCCTTCTAAGACTACTGCCGGCCCCAAGCCCGGGTAAAGGGGGAGGGTTGAGTGTGGGATCAGCAACTCCATCCCGTAAAAAACAACCTTGCTGAAAAACACTATTCTGAGTAGACAAACAGACCATTTAGACTCTACTTCGGGAATCGGAAGAAAAATTATGACGCCTTGTGATGAAAACCGAGATTCTTCGAAAGTCACGGGGTCGATGCCCCTTCTAATACCCAAAGCAACAACTTTTATAGGTACGCTCGGACAATGTGGGAGACAGGGTGGACTGGTCAAACAGCGACGGAAATGAAAAGATTCAACTTGACGGTCCTCAGAATCAGCGAAACCCATTGGACCCGAGCTGGACAGAAAATATTAGATTCGAGAGAATCTAATCTTGCTACTACCTTGACGTGGTGGTCGGGCTTCCCTATCGTAATGAACTAGTCGAGCTATACTGGCTGGAACAATCATTTCTCAAGATCCTACCATGCCATTCAAGTTGCTAAGCCCTCTCTAACCCAATTTCCTTTTCAGGTACCTGTAGAAGAACCCTTCCACGATGTGGGGAACCAGGAAGTGACAACTGCCTCATACCACTAGCAGCACTCAAGACCACTGAGATTCTGAAGAGATGTTGGCGTACTCCGGTCGCGAAGAGGAAAATGCTCCTTACACTGTGATGTTGTCCAGAGAAGCTTGAAAAGCACTTATAGGGTGGGAATCTGATGGATCCAGAATCATCAAAGCATCCTTCAAAACGAAGGAGTGAATTGCAATAAATGTTATCTACTGTTGTGCACCCACCAATGATAGCAATAACAACGATAAAGATCAGTTTTACGAGAGGCTACAATCGCTCATAGCAAAGTGCTCAGGAAAAGACCTAACAATCCTGGTAGGAGATCTGAACGGCAAAGGCGGAATGGACAACACCGGGTATAAAGATATCATGGGACGACATGAACTGGGAGAGAGGAACGAAACTGGGAAAAGATTTAAAAATCTATGTGAATTCAACAAATCGGTTATAAGCGGCACAATATTTCCACACAAACGTATACACAAAGTTGCAAGAGAAGGAAATATGAAACAACTATATGATACGACTAAGAAACTGACAGGAAAATATAGTAAATCAGAGTCTGGTCAAGAACAAATAAGGTAATCACCGAGTTCCAAGAACAGATAGGTAGAATACTTCGAGGAATTTTTGAATGGACCATCTCCATTGAATCCATCGGATATCGAAGCAGCACACACACCATTCTATAGATGTCACTCCACCAACAATCGAAAAAATCGGGATGGCCATCAGAAAATCAAGAGTGGGAAAGCAACAAGATCTGACAATATACCAGCTGAAGCAATAAAGTCAGACATAGAAGTAGCTGTAAACATGTATTACATTCTATTCAGGAAGATTTAGGGCAAAGAACAAGTGCCAACAGACGGGATAGAAGGACACCTCATCACGATACCACATAAAGATCTGAGTAAATGTAAGAACTACAGAGGAATCACATTGCTGTCAGTACCAGGAAAGGTCTTCGACAGAATGTTGCTGAACTGGATGAAAGATTCAGTAGACACCTAGCTTCCAGATCAATAGGTCGGATTCCGTAAGGATCGGTTGTGCACAGACCGAATGTATTTGACAGCGTGGATAAAGAACCTCACGGAACCTTCTTCGACACTGTCTAATCTCTCCCTGCCACTTTCTTTTGGTGGTTGACTGGATTATGAAGACCTCCACATCTGACGAGAAGCACGGAATACAATGAACAGGGTGGATGCAACTATACTATTTGGATTTCGTAGATCACTTAGCTCTTCTATCCCATACACACCAACAAATGTAGGTCAATACAAACAGTGCCGCAGCAGCCTCTGCATCAGTAAGCCTCAACATATACAAGAGAAAACGCAAGATCCTGAAATATAACACAGAGAACACCAACCCAATCACACTTGATGGTCAGTCAGTCAGTAACAACGTAGAACTTCGTACGTACGTACATCAGTTCGAGTTGCCACACCACATTAGCATAGAGATACAATTGTCGATTCAAATCCCATAGTGGTAGAGGTGGTCAGAGTATAAGCAGTAATCGGGAAGATTAGGGTTTGGAGATATTATTTAAAGAGTATAATACAGTGAAATAAATTTGGGAAGAAAATAAGGGACATGAATAATCCAGAAAATTAGAATTTGGGAGAACACAAAGAGTGTATGCACCTGCGCCATTGCAAACGATTTTGAGCCATGTCATTCAGGGTCTCTAGCCATCGGTTGCTATCATCTCGCGGATCCCAACCAGGTAGTCTACACCTACCAACATGGATCAGCCCACTTGTCAGTGACTTCATGGATTTGTGCCATGTTTTGGTCTGGCCGCCTCTAGCCTTTTTCCAACCCACTTCTACACCATAAAACATCGCACATCGGGGCAGTCGGTGGTTGGGCATACGTAACACATGTCTCAGCCATCTCAACTGATGAAGTTTCACCACTTCATCAATTGATATGCCATCCTTACCTAGTACCCGTTTCCTAACAACCGCATTACTTACGCGGTGGTCCTAGGATATACGGGCAGTGCTTCGAAGACACCTATGATCGAACACTAGTAACCTAAGAATATCTCTGACTCTTACAGGCCATGTTTCACAGCTATAAAGTAGGACGGAACACACTGCTGCGCAGTGAACCCGTCCTTTGGTTGGTAGACGGATATACCGCCTACGCCATAAATGGCGCAAGTTGGTAAAAGCCAGTCGAGCCTTCTGTATCTGTACTGAGATTTCGTCACACACAAACCACAAAGGCTGATGTGACTCCCAAGACAAGTGGAGTGGTCGACACGCTCAACTACTTCACTCCCTATCAATTCTGAAGCAACATTTTGCATTTTGAAGGGGAGAACCGTATCCCGAACATGTTTGCATTGTTGCTTACGGTGGTTAGAAGACTGCATTTTGTCAGCGTCTTCACCAAATAGAACTGTGTTAACGGCATATTTTAAGTCAACAAGTGAATCTCCCGGCAGAAGTTCAACTCCATTGATACCATATAGCCGAATAGTGACTGCTCTCGATACCTTATTCTTAACTTAAGCTTCTGATAAATTGGTATTAAAAAACAAAATAGCTGCCCAGTAGAATAGGCTTTTTTGTTCAGTCAATCGGAGTACTTATATATAAATTATTAACATAAGAGTAAACATGATTGTGTTGTAAACCATTGATCGATATCAGTTTTATAATTCTCTCCCCCTCCAGGAAATTAAGACCTGACTGATAGGCTTAGTTCATTCCTCAATTATTGGCTTTTTACCTCCTAAAACATGATTAAAGATAAATATCATGTGCGTGGTAATCGGTTAGGCACCTTATATCTTAACGTTTTTAGGTGTTTTGTTAATGAGTTTGAATTCCTGGCTTTGTTTGAGAAAGATTTTCTGTTACGTAATCCTACTGACTGTGAGATACTCTCAGCAGTTCGACTACTAAATATTTACTTGTCTCGATTGTACATGGTAATAAAATTTTTTTACTCGATATTCCAAGTTTGTGACAATAACATCTTTCCTCAAAAATATCCTCCATTTTATTTTAAGTTAGATTTTAAATTGAACAGTTTCCACAAATCCGTCATTTTTTTTTCATTCAGCTTCCAGTAGTTTGTGGGATATGCAAACGGTTGTTTTACAGTACCAATTAACGATCTATTGATGACTGAGAGCTGTATAGCCCGGATACGTGAATTCAATCGTGTTATATGGGGTGGATCCAATGTGAAGACAGATTTGTTCAAACGTTGGTGTCAAGGTGAATAGTTTTCGTTACCGTAACTTTGCTTAGGATTTTCATTTAGCCCTGTTGAGTTTAGTGCTTTGGTACAATCAACAGGTGGTCCATGTGCTATTATAGCTACTACTCAAGCCACAATTATGTACGAGGTTTTGTTCATTCGCAAGCAGAACCTAGCTGATATTACAGGTACATTTTTGTCATGAAATGGGCACTAAAAATTAGATGTCGACAATATGGAAATTCTACTGAGCGCGCTGTTAAGAATAATTCTATTGGTTTCGAGTGATCGCCAAAGCCATTTTTGCTGGGTTTACTGGTGCGAAGATGAAGAACCAGCGAGTTCTGAGTCCTCTATTCAAAGTTTGTAATAAGAGTGATTTCGGGAATTTTATTTTAGATGAAAAATGTGCCACCAGTGATTTCAGTGCTGCCAATAGGTCATCGGATTCTAATATAAACCAGCTTGGAGAATGCGGTTTCCAGAAATTTATTAATGGTTTAAGGTAAGCTGCACGTGTTTTCTAAAATGTAGATTTCTTCATTTTACCTTCTACTCAAAGTTAATGTTATCGAATCGGGGTAAAAAGACGGTTCTAGGAAGCGAAGATGGTGAAAAACCTTATTAGGACAGCACATTTAAGAGATCAATATAGTTTTTAAACAGATCATCAGGTTTTACTCTTATGCACAGTAATATAAGGATTTATAGAACTTATCAAACTATTCAACCCAAGTTATGGGCCAATCACAACAATAAAAACGGATTACATAGCTAATCGTAACAAAAAAAGTACGAAGTAATGGTAAGGTAATAGGTAAAGTAGTTCGAAATGTGCGTATTGATCACGAATAGTCAATAACCCTCATAGCACTGTTCAATGAACTTTGTCCTTATTCCAGTTTTTGTTGCATTTTAAAGTCTGGTGTATGTTAAAGGGTCTGAAAGTGATTTCCTATTTGTCGAACTACTGACTATTATCCTCTTTTTTATACTCGACTTGTAGTAAGAAGCATTTGTAAATGCAAACTTATAGGTTAGTATGATTTTTGGGCATGCTTCTATGAAAAAGTGTTAATACATTTTGTGCGTCTGCATATAGCCATTCCTTCAAAGCGATTGCTAACTATGTTTTTCGGACCCTTTGAATTCGACATTTTCTCTTATGCAGTAGTCAGTCTTGTCATAGTGTTATTAATCTTCACTTAAACATTGATGTGGTCATCAGATAGTTTGTGTCGGCATATTTCGGTAGTCTTCGGTGGATTTCACTATTTAATTTTATTGGTGCGATCGTAAATTTTATCTAAACTCATGTCTTCCTGGATTGTTATGTTCTTTTTCAACAGTTTGTGATACAAGATGGTACTATCATATCGTACCCCTGTCTTCCTCAATTGATGGTTGTAAACTCAGATTTAGATGTTTTTTATGCTTTTGGTGAACCATCAGTTTGATATTTTAGGATTTATTGTAAACAGAAGAAAATAGAATATGAATTAATATTCTTTTCACTAAGCTGTCGTTATTTTTTATTTATTTATTTGAACACATAAATATTGGTACAAGAGGGCACCAAATATATGTGCGCCACACAAGATAATGAGAATTCGAAGATAAAAAAAATAATGAACAAATTAGTGTAAGTTAGTGTAATAATAATAGTAATAATGGGGTAACGGAAAGGTACAATCAGGAGAAATCTTTCAGTTAAGGAAGATACAACCATGTTTTTTTATGAAGAAAGTAAAAGAAGTTTACAGTAGGATCGCCACTGGCTTCTATTCTGAGCCATGTCTGATAACGTCTCTAGCAACTGTGTTGCACCATCTCTCGGACCCCAGCCAGGGATTCGCGAAGGACCAACACAAGCCAGTCCTTTGCAGCTTTCTTTCATACTACGACACCATATCATACAACGACCACCTCTCTACTTTTCTAACCAGTCCCGGAGTCGGCAAACAATGCACGACGTGGAATTCTCTGGGACGACATTCGTAGAGCATGTCCAATCCACCGAAGTCGGTGTTTCAAGATGGTGACACCGATTGCATTATCGTCTCTGTTCCCGAACACACGATGCTAAACCTCTGCATTACTAACGTGGTGTTACCACTGGATGTCAGCAATCCTCCGGAGACAACGATGATCGAGCACAGAGAGTCGTCTAACATCCTCAACTCAGAGAGGCCAGGTTTCACAAGCATAGAACAAAACTGCTCCCACCGACGCGTTGTAGATCCGACCTTTTACAACCAGACTGACATCACGAAGACGCATCAGTAATAGCATTCAAGCAATAACGAAACATAACACAAAGACGGCCCAGATTGGCATAAGCCGCTCTGACTCCCAATATACGTGCATTGATCTCACCACTCACACCCCCATCAGCACTTATGCAGCTACCCAGATACACGAACTTCCCGACTACTTCTATCTGTTCACCATCCAGAGTGAGTACAGGATTAGAATCCTGTCAGTCTTATAGAAGTACTTTGCACCATACCATACCTACGGACACTGATTGCCAACTGATTAAGTGCGGATTGCATGGCTTGTGCATTATCGCACAGTAAGGCAATATCATCCGCATACTCAAGGTCGAGAAGTCTTTCTCCAGGCAACAGATCCACACCGTCATTACTTACATCTATCAGAGCTGTTTCCAGAATGTCGTCGATGGCAAAGTTGAAGAGGAATAGTGAGATTGGGCAACCCTGTCTAACCCCACTGCTCGAATGGAACAATGGAGAGAGGTGGTTGTATGCCCTAACTCTGCCTGAGGTGTTTGTATATAGGGCTTTTAGGATGTTAATAAACTTCTCAGGCACACCGTTCTTCAATAGACAATCCCAGAGAACAGTCCTGTCCAACGAATCGAAGGCAGCCCTGATGTGAAGAAATACTACGATTGTTGGCCTTTGATAAGTATGGCGGTGTTCTAACATTTGGCGGAGGGTGAAGATATGATCAATACATCCTCGACCGGAACAAAAACCAGCCTGCTCCTCGCGAGTCAATCTTTCTCGGGTTTTGAACAACCTACGAAGTATGACGGAAGCCAATAGCTTGGAAGCAATCGGAAGTAGACTTATCCCCCGATAGTTTTTACAGGAACGACGTGAACCCTTTTTAAAGATAGGGACAACTATCGACTCATTCCATGATGTTGGTACACTCTAGCTTCCAGACCTTTGTAAACAACGTTGTCAGTTCCTTATTCAGAAAGTCACCACCATCTTTAAAAGGAGCCGGAGGTAAGTCATCTGGGCCAGGTGATTTGTAGCGCTTCAAGAGTTGGAGTTCCTTGCAGACTTCCGCCTCATTTGGTGGATCAGCCGTCACCGGCCATGGAGGGCAGGACAGTCTGACCGATGTTGCCGGAGCAGCAGGCCAGTTGAACTGCCCTTCGAAAAATTCTGCCCATCGTCCAAGGCGTCGATGGATGTTGGTGATTGGCATCCCGTCATCCTCACAGATTGTTTCGCTCACACTAGACTTCTTGCTGCCAGTGGTTCGAATGGATTGGAAGAGCTTCCGGTAGTTACCAGATGCAGCTGCTGCTTCCAGCTCATTAGCACGCTCCGACCACCAGGCTTCTCGGTCCTTACGCAAGCTTTGACCGATTTCATTGCGTAACATCCTCCGTTTGTGGTTAAACTCACGGTCACCCGGAGTAGACCGACGGGCTTCGATAAGTTGTAGGGAGCCTGAAGAAGCCCAGTGCTTATAAGCGGGACGTTTCGCGAAACTGCAAGCGGCTTTACTCACCGTCTTCATGGCGTCATGCAGTTGCGACGAATACTTACCTATACTTTTCGGTGGAATGGTAGCTAGCCTAGAAGCTAGCTCAGTTCGATACTTACTTGCAACAGGAGTTGCAACCAGCTTGCTAACATCAATCCGTTGGTGACGGTCACTTCGTTAGCCACTGAAAAGTAAGGTAAGATTGGCGCAGACCAAGGCATGGTCAGAGTCCAGATAGGTACTCCAAAAGGAGTGGTAGTCTTGTACACAACCACGCCAGCGGTAGCTGATCGCGATGTGATCAATCTGAGTCCAGGCTTGCGATGCAGAGGAAGGACGCCAGGTGGCACATCGGCGATGACTGTGCCGAAAGCTAGTACTAGCCAAAAACAGATTGTGGTCTGTGCACAGTTGTAGTCGACGGTCCCCGTTATCTTTCTTGCGACCAACAAGTCCCCATCGACTCTCTTCTGTGCCTAGACGCCTGACCTGAGCATTCAAGTCTCCGGCTAGTAATACAATATCTGTCGAACGCACTTTTTGGAGAACAGATAACTGGTGGTAAAGCTCATCCTCGATTGCATCCGGTCTGCAATCTGTCTGAGCATAGGCGGTGATGATGAAAAGACATCGTTTCTCACGCCGATTTCTCCTCACTTTGATGGAACGTTCTAGTGCTGCCTCAGCTCTAGCGCTTAGTGCGGCACCAACTCCAGCAAGACCAGACGAAGATGCCACATGGTCCCCGGATAAGCGCACGTAAAACAAGCCTTTTGAAGCGACAGATGGAGAGCGAATTTGTAGTACTTCACCAGAGTCTTGAATACGAATTTCCACCATAAGCGAGTTGCTGTATTCCTATAACCTCAAGTTCAGGTATATCTTATTAAGCAACGTTTTTTGATTGGTCTACTTTAATCTATGCTTGTAATTACAAGTAAAATATTTTTTTCATTTAGATGCTTCGAAGCGGAAACTGTCGAGGAACTCCGTGCGGTTGCTTTCTCGTTACTTCCTCAAATAAAATCAAAATATGGAGTATTGTGCTTCCTTTATTCTGTTTTGTTCACACATGGACTTCAGTCACTTATAAACGAAATGAACGGTGAAATGGATGCTTTGATTGATCCAATTCATGGACATGCTAGTCAGTGTCTGATTAATTTATTAATTACTGGAGAAAGCACGCCATATTTATTCGATGGTGAAAGAGATCTCGGAGGATTTAGTAAGTGTATTTACGTTTAATTGTTAAACTGGGATTAAAAGACATCAATTAATATTTTATCTAATTAAGTGCAATTATTAATTGGAGCATATTCAGGAAGACAGATATCATCAACTGGACACAAATATACGTTGGCGCAATTTCCCATACCACATTAGAGAGACGAAATATATACATCAGAAAGATCAAAATAATGTAGTAGCAGTGATAAAAAGAAAGACTAAACCGGGGGAATATGATTGAGAAAGATTAAGTTAAAAGTTATGTATGAAGGGACAGTGAAATTCAAGATCAAGAAGAAGATGAATATTGGATGCATGTAAACCATTGTGAATTGATTCTGAGGTATGTCACCCAAAGTCTCCAACCGCTGATCACAATTATCACACACCCCAACCAAGTCGTTTGCATCCACCAACATGAGCTCCCTTAGCTTTTTTCCAAACTGCTGTTGCACTAACGAGCATCACTTGTCGAGATAAGTGGGTAGTCAGAGATACATGGCATATACCCTAACCATATCAGTCGATGGAGATTTACAAACTCATCAACCGATTTGGCACCTATGCTTGCTCATTTGATCGTTCCTCGAAACGCGAGGAATGCTTCAAAGACACTTATAATCATTAATCTTTAGTCTACATATGTCTCCTACTTTCATATACCATGTCTTACGGTCATAAAGTAGAACGGAGCCCAATTCTGTGCCCTGATTTACTCAGGATATATATTAAATGGAATATACTAACCGTTTATTCAGTTTGTTCATTGCTCACTCTAAATAATAGGCAGCATCTCGATTTTTTAAGCATTTTATTTAATTTATGAGGTACGAATTCTGATATATGGCATCAAAAATGCACTACTCAAACGTAGTACTAAAATTGTGAAGACACAAAGAAGATAACGGTAGTACAATAAATAAATAAATGAGCAATAATATTGTTTAATAAGGACACAGCTCATTTGGAAATGCAATCAAAAAGTACTCTCAGTACAAAGAGTTTATCTCATTTTTATTAAGAATAATGGCAAACGATAGTATAGTCGCCATCGGTTTCTATTCTGAAGCCACTAAATCTCACAGTCTCTTGGATCCAAGTTGAAGAATTAAAATGGACTAACAAACCCTGTTCATACATAATAGTTATCTTTCATACCATAGGAATGTGTTGTAAACCAACCACCTTCAATAAAATGAAACGATCTAATCAGTTCCCTTGAAGCGAGCGGGGTGTAGGTCACTAATTGGACTATCCCTTAAAGTACCCTGCCCAAGGTTTAACATGCCTTTAAGGATTGTTGATTAGTATAGAATCACCTTCGTAAGTCATTTTATTAATATAGTAATTCTTGGTACCATGATTTGTAGCAAATCTCAGTAGGGAACACATATAGCTGCTGCTACAAACTCGTTAACAAGCTTTGATCATTAGGTTTCTTTTTCCTCACGCCGTAAACTTTGTGATAACCCGAGTTGAAAATTTGCGTATAATATCACACTTGCGATTAGCGAGAGTAAACCAGCGTGTCTCGACACATTTTAGAGGGAGTTGAAGAGGTCTAATGTTTAAAAGCGCGTTTGGCGGGACAGCAGTCAACTTCCTTGCCATTGTTAATCTACACTTTTCAATAGACTCCTGCTGGTATAGGTTGTTCGTTTAATTAACCTGTTTAAAACCTCTTTTTAAAATTTCTACTGCAATCGATTAGTCAGATATGGAGAGGAAATAAAGTAGTTTCTACTGTGGTGTAAAACTATACAGTAGCTGAGTCATTTTGCTAAATGTGCTTAAGTGCTATGTTATTAAAATTTCTATCCATTTAAGTCTGGTAATCTCTTGAGTTTAACATCAAGTGTTAAGAAGTATCACAAAAGAGTCCTAATGAAACCCAATGTACTTGATATAAAGACTACGTGATTCATAGATAAACCAGGGCTATTCATTCATATGAGACGTATATTTTCATACCTTAATATACTATAGTATATCAAGGAAACCTCTGTTTGAACACATTCGAAACAACTTCAGAGAGGTCTGTCACTAATTTTAATCGTCTTTAATATTTACCAGTATATATTCAAGCTTTATACGCCACCTGTATTTTCTATAACGTTACTGGATACTTGATGCAAGCGAGTCTTGTCTTACTCATGACAGCTAAGAGCATCTTGACCAACTCAATTGTATGCACCATAGATTTTCGCCTAAATTAATAATATCATTGAGTGTATATTCCCCTTTAATTAAGTGATACAATGGGCATTTACTTAGATGAGAATTTGCGAAGAATAATTCAAATCTACCACTTAATTGAGCTGGTTTTCGAACATATCCTAGTTACTTGGATTTAGAAACTTATTACGCAGATTTATACGTGGCTACTGGACTAAAAGTCTACAAATTACCCGCTATATTTTTATAGTCGTACAATGTAAGTGAATAGGTCTGGTTGATACGATGTGTAATGCAAATTTACATCAATTTACCTTATTCAAAGTGCATGATTGGTTCAGAGGCTTTATGAAAGCGCACAATCAGGAAGTGAAGCACATCGGATTTACCCAGATTTTCTTACAAAATATTCAATTTTTCTTGATAATATTAAGACTTGCTAGTATGATTCTGTTTTACTAATTCATCAAAGGTTCATATAACCAGCTATTTGATTGTCTCACATACTTAGTGGCTTATCTCTAAAATGTATGTACTAGATGTGAGTATATAGGTATCATTACTAGTTTAATCTAATAATTTTAAATAAATTGAGCATTGGATAGATTGGTAATAATAAAAGTAGTGACATATATTCGTAATATCTCAAAGAGTAGAGAATTAAATTTCCCAATATTTCGTAACTCAATGTAGTTCGCCTCTTCAGAGGATAACTATACAAATTAAACTGGCCTAAATTTAAACAGTACAAAAGGACAGGGCGAAAATACCAAAAAACAGTTTATTCTCTCCTTAAACCTACCCTCGTAATGTTGGCTTATTATCCAGAGTGATGACGTTTCAATTTTTTTCATATTATTTTCTTTATTATCATTGTCTTCTCTCACCCTCCATTTCTAATCTAGTTGGACTTTTATTTTTATATATAAATGTTCTTAACAAGTATATGTATGATCAGATTGTTCGAAATGTATTGTGCTAGTATATCATTTAGTTTTGATAATTTTTGTCGTCATATTACACTCAAAATTTATCAAAGCGACTAGTTGCTTCAACTTACTAATCAATCAAAAAACAGATTTGATTAAGTCAATGTTTTATCATTCTGTTCGAGGTGATTTTTGTAAGACATGCTCGTATCTTTGTATGCTAATGGGTGTGAACAAAGTGATATTCGCAATGTCAGAAATTCAAGGTGAATTTGTGTGAAGAAAGTGTGCGTTGTGAGTAGATTCAGATGTGTTGGGTTGGATGAATGGTCTAAATTAAATAGATGGTAAGGCTTTCTTGTGTACTAAGAGCAGCAGGATTTAGTAGTATATGAGAAATTTCAGTTATTTAGCTTTCTTTATCGTTGGAAAAACCTTTTTGTATTGTTTTGATAATTTTAATATCGATTTAATGGTCATTGAAGATACCATGCATTGCTATTACCTTTGTGAATTTACTTCTAAAAGTAACACTACCTCACTAATTTGCTGACGTTACAGAACTCACCAAATGTGTCAATTATCAGTTTAATGTAGGAATGTTATGTCGCGTGTAAAATATTTACACGCACTTCCCATTTCCTGGATTTCTTGATCAACGAACATCAGTTATACTTTTAAATGATCAAAGTCAGTAACTTTCAGTCATCAAATTTGTGTAAATACAACATGGTCTCTAAAGCATCTTCATGAAATATTTCACTGTTTGTTTTGTTTACTTCTCTGTAAAGCATTGAAAGGTTTCTTTTTCCTCACGCCGTAAACTTTGTGATAACCCGAGTTGAAAATTTGCGTATAATATCACACTTGCGATTAGCGAGAGTAAACCAGCGTGTCTCGACACATTTTAGAGGGAGTTGAAGAGGTCTAATGTTTAAAAGCGCGTTTGGCGGGACAGCAGTCAACTTCCTTGCCATTGTTAATCTACACTTTTCAATAGACTCCTGCTGGTATAGGTTGTTCGTTTAATTAACCTGTTTAAAACCTCTTTTTAAAATTTCTACTGCAATCGATTAGTCAGATATGGAGAGGAAATAAAGTAGTTTCTACTGTGGTGTAAAACTATACAGTAGCTGAGTCATTTTGCTAAATGTGCTTAAGTGCTATGTTATTAAAATTTCTATCCATTTAAGTCTGGTAATCTCTTGAGTTTAACATCAAGTGTTAAGAAGTATCACAAAAGAGTCCTAATGAAACCCAATGTACTTGATATAAAGACTACGTGATTCATAGATAAACCAGGGCTATTCATTCATATGAGACGTATATTTTCATACCTTAATATACTATAGTATATCAAGGAAACCTCTGTTTGAACACATTCGAAACAACTTCAGAGAGGTCTGTCACTAATTTTAATCGTCTTTAATATTTACCAGTATATATTCAAGCTTTATACGCCACCTGTATTTTCTATAACGTTACTGGATACTTGATGCAAGCGAGTCTTGTCTTACTCATGACAGCTAAGAGCATCTTGACCAACTCAATTGTATGCACCATAGATTTTCGCCTAAATTAATAATATCATTGAGTGTATATTCCCCTTTAATTAAGTGATACAATGGGCATTTACTTAGATGAGAATTTGCGAAGAATAATTCAAATCTACCACTTAATTGAGCTGGTTTTCGAACATATCCTAGTTACTTGGATTTAGAAACTTATTACGCAGATTTATACGTGGCTACTGGACTAAAAGTCTACAAATTACCCGCTATATTTTTATAGTCGTACAATGTAAGTGAATAGGTCTGGTTGATACGATGTGTAATGCAAATTTACATCAATTTACCTTATTCAAAGTGCATGATTGGTTCAGAGGCTTTATGAAAGCGCACAATCAGGAAGTGAAGCACATCGGATTTACCCAGATTTTCTTACAAAATATTCAATTTTTCTTGATAATATTAAGACTTGCTAGTATGATTCTGTTTTACTAATTCATCAAAGGTTCATATAACCAGCTATTTGATTGTCTCACATACTTAGTGGCTTATCTCTAAAATGTATGTACTAGATGTGAGTATATAGGTATCATTACTAGTTTAATCTAATAATTTTAAATAAATTGAGCATTGGATAGATTGGTAATAATAAAAGTAGTGACATATATTCGTAATATCTCAAAGAGTAGAGAATTAAATTTCCCAATATTTCGTAACTCAATGTAGTTCGCCTCTTCAGAGGATAACTATACAAATTAAACTGGCCTAAATTTAAACAGTACAAAAGGACAGGGCGAAAATACCAAAAAACAGTTTATTCTCTCCTTAAACCTACCCTCGTAATGTTGGCTTATTATCCAGAGTGATGACGTTTCAATTTTTTTCATATTATTTTCTTTATTATCATTGTCTTCTCTCACCCTCCATTTCTAATCTAGTTGGACTTTTATTTTTATATATAAATGTTCTTAACAAGTATATGTATGATCAGATTGTTCGAAATGTATTGTGCTAGTATATCATTTAGTTTTGATAATTTTTGTCGTCATATTACACTCAAAATTTATCAAAGCGACTAGTTGCTTCAACTTACTAATCAATCAAAAAACAGATTTGATTAAGTCAATGTTTTATCATTCTGTTCGAGGTGATTTTTGTAAGACATGCTCGTATCTTTGTATGCTAATGGGTGTGAACAAAGTGATATTCGCAATGTCAGAAATTCAAGGTGAATTTGTGTGAAGAAAGTGTGCGTTGTGAGTAGATTCAGATGTGTTGGGTTGGATGAATGGTCTAAATTAAATAGATGGTAAGGCTTTCTTGTGTACTAAGAGCAGCAGGATTTAGTAGTATATGAGAAATTTCAGTTATTTAGCTTTCTTTATCGTTGGAAAAACCTTTTTGTATTGTTTTGATAATTTTAATATCGATTTAATGGTCATTGAAGATACCATGCATTGCTATTACCTTTGTGAATTTACTTCTAAAAGTAACACTACCTCACTAATTTGCTGACGTTACAGAACTCACCAAATGTGTCAATTATCAGTTTAATGTAGGAATGTTATGTCGCGTGTAAAATATTTACACGCACTTCCCATTTCCTGGATTTCTTGATCAACGAACATCAGTTATACTTTTAAATGATCAAAGTCAGTAACTTTCAGTCATCAAATTTGTGTAAATACAACATGGTCTCTAAAGCATCTTCATGAAATATTTCACTGTTTGTTTTGTTTACTTCTCTGTAAAGCATTGAAAGGTATATCCAGGCAACCGAAAACCGGTTTCTTGACTTTTGTTGAAGCAATGAGATATTGTGAAGTGGGATGGTTCTTGAAAAATCCATACTACCCAGTTTGGATTTTGGGATCTGAGACACACTTAACCGTTTTGGCGTCGCCAGACATGTCGTTGGTGTCAAAAAATGTCAAGTCAGAAATTAACTCCATATCAGGTTTACGTCAAGCTGAAGCTGAGTTTAATTATCTAAGCCCAGATAAAGATACTGGAGGTTTTATCAGTTCGTCAGATTTTGAAAAATTACTGACCAAATTACGTCTATCTACAGGATCCCAACAGTAAGTAAATTTTCTAAAATCATTGTCAAATTGTTTTTCCACCAACCTTTACAAACTATAGTTATTTCGTTATTATAAATCTTTATTTTCTAATCTTTGAAAAGACAAAAAATTTGTTTTTACTGACTTTTCGCTATTATAACTGAATAACGTAACGTCAGTAACGATAATTTTTTCACTGATTAGAAAACACAAATTTCTGATAGTAATGAATATCGCTGACACGATGCATAATTATATCACTTATAAATGTAAATACAACTCAGATAGCTATAGACGAACCACAGACATCTGTATGCAAAATGAGAATAACAGAAAAGTAATCAAAAATACATAAACACAAACATAAGGGATTAAGAGAACCTTCATTATCTGTATATGTAGAAGTTCTCAGGTACTACTTGAGGAAGGAAACCAATATCGACTTAAGATGAATGTAAGGTCATCGTTCAACACAATTTTAATACATTACTTTGTGGGCTTTCAATGTATTTTCACTATAATTTTGGTTTGGTTGACAATTACCTTAGTTCATAAATTATATTCATTGTGATCGACAGATAGTTGACTGAGATGAATTTTTATATTCTACTGAGGTCACTATTCAAGTAGCTTTCCTCACGAAGTTGGACTTCTTATTATTAGTTAGTGAACTAAGAAAGAAGAGGATAGCAGTAATCTCACTCTCCGTATTGAAGTTAAAGTTGCGAAGTAGCAGCTTAGTACACCAACACACCATATTCTCAAATCATAACCACGAGATCTACTTAGTATGGGTAGCATAAATGACAAAGCTCCAGATTACCTTTGATGACTGCATAGTCATTCGGCAATATATTGTGGTGTATTATATTCAAACTTCCCATACAAAAGCTAATGTCCATATCATCAGATAACACTGAAAACTACACAAATATTCAACTTCATGGGAATTATGGTAGTCGTAATCCTAATGAATGTACTAACTTGTATTAAGAGTTCGTAATAACCTTGATAAGATCCATAGATTACGGTAACAAATTCACTTCTCTAGAATCTAGAATAAATAAATAGCCTGATACCGGATATCATTTCGAGCTACTACCGCGCTTTATAACATATCAGTAAATAACTAATTTTGTGGAGCATGGAAATGTTTAGTAGAAGGTCTTCACATGCTAAAAGTGAACACCTGTGTCATCATGATTGACTTTCAGCATTTTTCCTGGTGGTTTCCAATCACACGAAGGTAAGACATGGTAGAAATACGTGTCAGTCAGAATTACTGTATTTTCACTCAAACTTCATGGCAGGATTATTATTCGTATTACATTCAACGATTCGTCATTATTTTTTCTTGCAGAGTAAATGATTTAGTTACAAAACTAGATCCTGAAGGTTTAGGAATAATTTTGAAGAAAGACTTCCTACAGTTCTTTTATCCCGAAGAAATGGCAAAGCACACCACTGAAGTTATTAGCTTTCAGTTAATCCATTATAATGGTTTGGAACACTCTAATACTGATGGTCGGGTGAGTTATTTCAATTATTCCTTATTTATGAAATCTTTTGAGTAATCGATATAGGGCTTAAAAACATTTGAAAAATAAAATACGCAATGTAACTCAATAACCAAGTACAGTTATCTGTTACACTTTTTATACGAGCACTGTTAATTTCACTCGCATATCCAGGTCCTAAACGATGAAGCTGGTTTGGACCTAAAACTTAATGTGTCCCATTCGACTGTTTTGAACTCAGTAAAAAATATGATTTCTGATTGTGTTCAGTTGAAAAATAAGTCCCATAAGTTTCTATGGCGTGAAATGCTTAAGTCGATTCCTTACATTCCTGCTTCGTAGGCGAAACATTAGCTGTTCAAATTATTATGAACCCATCGCTAATGGTAAAAAAAACGTTACTACACAACACTTAGTTACAACTATCGTATAATTCATAGCTGGAAGCAACTATCGCTAAAGTGCTTACTACGCTTTTTGTGTAAACAGGTTCGATACAGTATTGGTGAAGCCCGCTTAATAGATCCTACAGAAGAGCTTATCGAGACCCAGCCTATTGATCAAAGTCCTATACAGCAGTGCTTGGCAACAAAATGGCCTACAATAAGAATCAAATGGAACGTAAACAGAAGTCCGTCACTGAACTAATTTATTTGTAATATATTGCAGTAGCAACTCATCATTATTACCCAAACGCTTTCAAATCTAAATTTGTACAGTTTATCACTTTGTAATCAAAATGGAGTGTTTTTATGTACGTTATCATGTTTTAATGTGTTTAATCGCTTTGTCATATTATTTACAAGCTCCATACATAAGCTTGAAGGTTTTGTTTCTGGGATAGCAACAGTTACTGCTTCCCTGTCTCCAGCGCGGACTGAATGTATGTCGATAGGTATACGGTTCAGAATGGAGATACTTGCGATTTCAGTCAGCTTTCCAACTCCGGACGTCCCACTTATTGCTCTCCCGAATAATGATTTATGGTACCCACAAGATGGATATAAATTCTGACTCACATATACTTATTTACTCCTGTTACCCCTCGTGGAGGAGCATAGGCCGCCCACCAGTATTCTCCATCCAACTCTGTCCTGGGCAATCCTTTCCAGTTGCTTTTTATCCCTTTTATGACTGTTTTCGATTCTCGATACACGGTGCTCCACGGTCTTCCTATTTTCCATTTCCCATCACGGTTCTAAGTTAGCGCTTGCTTTGTTATGCATTCTGATGACTTCCTCAATATGTGTTCTATCCACTTCCAACGTCTTTTTTAATCTCTTCCTCAGCTAGAAGCTCGTTTTCTTTCTCCCACAGTAGGTTGTTACTGATCATACCTAGCCAACGGATATTGAGAATATTGCATAAACAGTTGTTGATAAATACCCGTACCTTCTTGATAATGGTTGTAGTTCTCTAGGTTTCAGCTCCGTACACATTAAATACACCGGTTCTCGTCCGATCCCATATACAGAAATATACGAAAAAGAATTCCACCTAAGTAGGTATTTACTTACTTATATATGCAGAATGTAAAGCTACTCTCGTAAAAATTCAATTTGTATTGTTTGCTTGTATCTTCCCATTGTTGTTTAGGACTGAAATTGATCAGTCTCTTGTCGGCATATGTGCATCCTGTGCGGATTGCCTCGATATTGCTTTAAATCACAAGCTTTTTAAGCAATGATGGGTGGCTGCTAGCAGTGGAATCCAGGACGCGTGTTTCGTCTTATTTCACACTCTTCAGCTGGATTTATCTACATCCCAGAGTTGATGTTCCCTCTGGGACTTTGTCGTATATCTTAAAAGCTGTCAGTTAATTTAAATTTTATTCTAACTATAACTCAAGAAAGCTCCGTCCTATACAGAATTCTGCAATAACTTCAAATAGATCAGATTATACTTTCACGGTTTCTCTACATAATTCTAACAACTGTATGAGTAGCCTATTAAAGTTTCAGAAACTTTACATAAATGGACACTTACTTACGCTTGACGTGTTTTAGTTGATAACTCTAATGAAATTATACCTTATCGATCAATGTAATCAGCCATCGAATTTAGATGAAGCTTTAAAAACTCCATATAGTCTTGGTGTTTTTCTTCATGAAAAATATGCATTTTAACCGCTCACATATACTCCAATTCACTTACACCACACGTCTTTTCTTACGAATATAGCCTGTGGGCCATAATCAACGCAAGTTTAGCACAGGGTCTGCTTGACAAAGCGTTTGCTGCGGCGCTGCTATTACTAGTAGACCACGCTAGGATACCTCTGAATCGCTATCTACCACGAGCCTCATTGTCACACATTTAATATTGCAGTTGGTTAGGATTATGATGTGCTTTATGTTGTCGAATTTGGGAGGCAATCCATCAAGTTTAGAGAATTACGTATGGAAGGTTCAAATGTGTTAGCATTAACCGATCCGACACAGTTACTGTTTAAGTGTTGTTTCCAAGCTGTAGATCACTAGTGTAGGTGACCTAAATGGAAGTCGGTCAACTCGGGTTGAACTAGAATCGTTTGTTCTCTTAGCTTAACTTCAAGTTACACCAGGTGGTCGGCACATATCCTGGTCTATCGCATTATGACAACCAGGTCAATTGACTTTTTCTATTGATTAGAATACATGATCTTATTGCCAAGTAATATATTTTTAAGAACGGATTAAAGGAGTACAAAGTAGAACCACTAGTCCATGGTATGCGACTGACAAGTCAGCGTGGGAACGAATATGTATCGAAACGGAACGTTACTTAAAAAAATATCAATATGTTCCATTCAGGAGTTGTATCTACTAACGAACTCAGTTAAATACATGACCATGTAACGACCCCCATTACCCACTGACCAGGAATTGTCAAAAAGTAAAAGAAATTCTGAAAGTTGAGTCTTAGAATCCAAAAGGTTTCTTAGGAGCAATGGAATGATCGGAGTCATTTAAGAACCAGGTTGTTTTCCATCTTAAAAATTTCCAAGTTCTATTAGTCATAAGTATAATTTGTAATCTACAAAATTAAGAAAAACACACTTAGGCCCACTATGAGTGGATATGGTCGGTTGGTTGGGAATGTGACCTAGCCACAAGGAGGACGATGGTCCAGGTGCATACTGAAGCAGTAAATCTCATTCTCATACATGGGAAAACAATTTTAAAAATACCCTAGTCAGAACAAGTTAAGAATTCTCAAACCTAAGTGTCTTTTGTGGTTTATTTACACTATTTTCCACTCTTATGTTAAATCATATATAAGAGTAAATACAATTGCACTGACCTGCCGACTCCTAACCAACTATTCTACGTTGTTTTATACGAACACATTATCAGGCCTGTGTGCCTAGTGGATGGAGGTGTGGTCTTTGATATCTTCTGATTTTTATTACTTGTTATTTTGTCAGTTGACTTGAGTGATTTTTCTTCACCTAACAATACCACCTACTGCTAACATAGGACAATTTAGTACATATAACCGTGTAAATCAAACGTAAGTGTTTTATTTATACCTTTAGTACCATTCATAAGCCGCTTATTGGTACATAAGTGTTGTGCAGGAACCATTTTAGGCTTCGTCAGAAATGTAGTAATACACAAATTTCAATAATGTAAGCATGATATTTACCACATTTAAACAGGCTCTGTGGAATTGAAGACAATATTGAGTTGGTTTTAAAGAAGGAAAATGAAAATATTTGGGGTGGGGGAATGAATGATATAAACGTGAAAATAATTTAATGGACGTGTATGTGAAAACAGACTAAGAAAAAACAGTTATGTACGTATTTCCAAATGAACAAAAAAGAATGTAAAAAGTAAACAAGTCATTTATATGCATTGAAGATAAAATGAATCTAAGAAGTTAATTAAGTGTAACACAAAATGATGTGTTTTTAGTTATAAAGTTTGGATATTTAGAAGGAAAAGTGACCGAAGAAAAAGAAGGCATGAAAAGATTATCTAACGTGTCAGGAGGTCAATCATGATAATAATAATAATGATAAATACAGACATTAGCGGACTCCGGATATTTAGATGTAAAGGAAGGGAAAGAAAGGAAATCAACGAGCAAAGTTTCAAAAGTCCTATTTTGATTTGCCGTCGATTAATTAGCTGTAGGACCATGTTTGTATGAATCATAGGTAATTGCATTGATATTTATTAGGCGACAGAGAACACTTCCGCAAAGAACGTCATTAAGGAGACTTCTGAACCAGGTTATAGTTTCACTGCAACGGATTTTCAGTGGGAGTCTGTTCTACATTGTTAAATGGTGAACAACGAAGAAATTTAGGCTAAAGTTTGTGTAGGTTCTCGGAATCGCTAGGATATTTCCCTTATTGCCTAAGTTGTGGGGTGATGTCATAGAGTACAAAGGGGTGGGTGCCGAAGAGTAAGAAATATCATTTATGAGACGGAGGACAAAGACGAGTTTCGTATTAATGCTTCTGATCCAGAGAGGATCTAACTTGAGTTGTTGACATTTTGTTGGTAATCCTTGTCAAAATATCCAAAACATCTTTGATGAATTTTCTTTGGACACCCTCAGTTTTCATTAATTATTATGCTTGAAATTACTGTAAATCGAAATAGGTATGATACACTCTTCGTATAGTGACCATCTGGATTAGATGCTGCAATTTATTATTATGAGTGTAGTTCCAAAGCTAGTTTTGAATTGGAGAGTAACTGTTGAGGCTAGTTCAGTTATGTGCTATTGCCCAATTGAAAATAAAACAACATAATTGAGTAAATGACGATTCTAATCAAATATTATCACTCAGTTGTTCAATCAATAGACAATTCAAGTGAACGTTATTCTATTCTTTCTGGATAGTTCACGCACACATTGTTTCCAGTTCTGCAAGAGTGCTTCAAATCACAATGAAAATGCACACTCCCAGTCAATCCAAGCAACACAGTCATAAGGAGGAGATAATTAGTACCCTTGACAAAATGAGTAAGTATCAACTAAAACAGCATAAATGTAGTTCAGGAAAAACATGGGAATTCAGTGAATGCATAAGAAAAACAACGAATAAAATAGAAGTGGTGCAATCTCAAGTGTAATCAAAAGATCAATCGAATGTACATCTGGCGGAATCGAGAGGAATAAATTTAAAGTGTATACGTGAAGTAATTTCCATACATAAGTCTTCCAAAATGGATCTTACGATAAAATTTCTTGCTCTGGATACTTGAGATGAAGTGTGCTTTAGAAAATTCAGAATATTGCTGTAGTTCGCACCCGCGTCATAAACAACGCTGAGGGGTTTCCGTATATGCTTGTTTAGGACCAGATTTAGGTTAGTGCTTTGAAAAAGTAAATAAATCCACTGTTGTCAATATCCAATGACAAACTCTACGACTTATTCCACTCGTAAAACTTATTTATGAAATATAGCTTTCTATCATGAAAGAGAATGAATAGACAGCTTTTAGGTTTGCCATGCTGAAAAAGTAACCACGCGTCATTGATTAGAAAGAAAAAGATTAGTGGGTCTATCAGTTTCCCTTGTATGACCAAACTCTCAACTTCATAGTTTTAGGATAGCAAGATCGAAAAAGAACATAATAGAAATATCATTGATTGTCCAGCACCTTTTCCTGAATAATTTGACCAAAGTATTCCAGGTGCCCTATAGAGCATGAGGGTCTAGTCAAAAACCCATGTTGCGGTGGGCTAATCAGTTTTGCAGAAGAAAAAAGTGATAATGGCTGTCTTTGGGTGATCTTGATAGCATGGACTTCAGGT